CCACATAGACAGAACGGCTTAACTCAGTCAGAGTTGAGCTTGCAAGTTTGGAGAGTGCGTCTGCTTGAGCATTTTGACCCCTTGGGATCAGCTCTACTTCGAAAGATCTCAGCTTCGCAATTGTCGATTTGATCCTTGTGAGGTAAGCTGCCATTGAAGGCTCTTTAGCCTCATACTCCCCCCGGATCTGATTGGCGACCAGCTGAGAATCTGTCTTGAGGTAGACATGCTCGGCTTCCAACGATATGCACAGGTCTAAGCCAGCAATGGCTGCTTCATATTCGGCCTCGTTGTTAGAGGCTTTGAATGAAAATTTTAGTGCATACTCGAAGGTTTTGCCTTCGGGAGAGGTAATGACGACCCCTGCCCCCGAACCGTTCACGGTGGAGGACCCATCCGTGAAGACGGTCCAGATTTTCCTCCTTGCATCCAGAGTCTCCTGATAGGAGCACTCGGCCAAGAAGTCTGCCAAGGCTTGCGCCTTGATGGCTGTTCTCGGCTGATAACCGATACTAAACTCGGTGAGCTCGAAAGCCCACTTTGCTAGTCTACCGGATTTTTCAACCTTGCCGAGGACTTTCTCTAACGGCTGATCAGTTAGAACCGCTATTTGATGAGAATCAAAATAGGGTCGCAACTTCCGAGCAGCCACCACCACTGCATAAGCCACTTTTTCTAACAATGGGTAGCGCGTCTCGGCATCCGTCAGGGTGTGGCTGACGAAATAGATCGGCTGTTGAACTTTTTCTTCTTCCCTTAGCAGCACCGCGCTTACCGTGGCTGGACTGACCGCCACGTATAAGTATAGGATGTCTCCTACGACTGGCCTTGCCAGTGTTGGGAGTTGAGCCAGGTGTTCACGGAGCTGCTGAAAGGCTGACTTTTGTTCGTCTCCCCATTCAATGCCTTTTGAATTTTGGAGCTTCAGCGCCTTGAAGAAAGGGAGCCATTCTCCCGGCTAGACGCTGAATATCCCTTTTTGTCTTCGGCTCGGGGAGGTCTAAGGCAGCTTGTACTTTGGCGGGGTTTGCATCAATCCCCCTCTTGCTGACCATGAAGCCGAGGAACTTGCCTGACTTCACGCCGAAGACACATTTCTTCGGATTCAGCTTCATTTTGTATTTTCTGAGGGTGGCGAAGGTTTCGGCTAGGTCCGTGACATGATCTTTTTCTTTTATGCTTTTGACGATTGAGTCGTCAACATAAACCTCCATGTTTCGGCCTTTTTGCTCGGCGAAAACCTGATCAACCAACCTCTGATATGTTGCCCCCGCATTTTTCAATCCGAAGGGCATCATTCTGTAATTGTACAACCCGGAACTTGTTATGAACGCTGTTTTAGCTCGGTCCTCGGGGTGCATGAAGATCTGATGGTATCCCGAGAATGCGTCCATGAAACTGAGCAGAGCATGCCCGCTTGTCGAGTCGACCAGTTGGTCGATCCTCGGCAGCGGATAGGAGTCCTTGGGACATGCCCTATTCAGGTCCGTGAAGTCAACGCACATCCTCCAGTTACCATTTGCCTTCTGAACCATTACAACATTGGCCAGCCACTCCGGATACTGACAGGGTTCAATGAACCCAGCATCTAGGAGCTTATCGACCTCAGCTGCGATGTTCTGGTTCTTTTCGGCGGAGTAGTTCCGCTTTTTCTGCTTAATGGGTCGACTGGAGGGGTCGACATTAAGCCTATGGGAGACGAAGTCCGGATCAATCCCGGGCATTTCTGCGGCTGAGAAGGCGAACACGTCTCCACTGGCCCGTAGGAGTTGGACGAGTGCCGCACGGGTGTTTGGCTCCAGTGACGACCCGATGCTAACACATCTGTTCGGATCTCCTACGGTCAGTTCTATTGACTCGGTCAGGTCATCCGTTTCCATGCTCTTAGAGTTGGATTCCTCGAATTCCGGCCTGCTATCAATATTAGCAGACTTTCCTGACCGCGGCTGGCCATCAGAGTCGTTCGGCTCTGAGGCGGAGTCAGCCTTTTGGCCCCCATCAGATTTCTCGTTGTCTGGGGCTTCATTAGCCGAAACGTCTGAGCCTCTCGGCTTTTTGGCGTTTCGGTCCCGGTGCTTTTCCTCCCCATCGCCACGGTCGCCTCGGCGAGACGTGGATGGCTTGAGGTGATTGCATCGGCGGGCTTCTTTTTGACTGCCCTTTATTTTCTCGGAGCGTCCCTCGTCTGAAACGTATATCATGATTTGATGATACGTGGAGACGACTCCTTGAATGCCGTGAATGAGGGGTCTCCCCATGATCACGTTGTATGCAGATGGAGCATCTACGACCAAAAATTCGGCCATGATATTCCTAGCTGCTCGGCCTTCGCCGATGGTGACAGGAAGTGTAATCTTCCCGTCAGGATACGAGGAAGAGCCGTTGAATCCAGACACCGGGTAGGGTGCGGGGGCCAGGTGCTCGGCTCCCATCCTCAGCTGGTCGAACGCTCCTCGGAAGAGGATGTTCGCCCCGCTACCGCCGTCGACGAGGGTCCGCCAGACGTTGCGGTTGGCGATGCCCAGAATGATTACTAGTGGGTCATCGTGGGGGTATACCACCCCCTCGCAGTCTTCGGCTGTGAACAGGATGTTCGGCGCCGGTGACTGGGACTGCCGAAGCTCAGCCTGATGAATCTGATGGGTTAGACCCCTCAGTTGGCGTTTGGCTGTGCCTCGCGAGATTCCCCCGGAAATAACCAGGATGTCGAGGGACTCCTTGCCCTGAGGTCCCTTATCCTTCTTCCGAGCGAAGTTGAGGTCCTGCCGAGAATCTTTTTCAGCTTTTTTCTCCTCGCGCCTGTCCGCGAGGTATTGGCTCAGGTACCCCTTGCGGACCAGATCCTCAATCTGGTCCTTCAGCTGGACGCAGTCCTCGGTGCGATGTCCGGGTGAGTCATGGAACTCGCACCACTGGTCCTTTCCCCTCGTCTGATGCCAGGGAGGCAACGGACGAGGTTTTTTGAATCTCCCCTCGTCCTTCGTCGTGCTGAAAATCTTAGCACGGGGAAGGGAGAGTGGAGTGTATGAATCGTACCTTCCCGTGTAGGGAAAGTGTCTTTCCTTCTTCGGCTCGGCAGCAGAGGACGGTTCTGAGGCCTTAGCCTTCCCTTTCCTCTGCGCCGAGACTTCGGGCTGCTGCCCTTTCGGCTTCTCAATTCTCGGACGAGACTGAGACCTGGATCTGTTCCACTCCTCGGCTCGGATGAACCTATCCGATGCTTCCAAGGCTTCCTCCAGGGTCTGCGGGGGATGCATGACCATGAAGTCCAGGAACTTTCCAGCTTGGAGGCCGTTCCGTAGCGCGAACACGGCCAGGCCTTGATCCAGGCTTGTGATTCCGGATGACTCGTTGCTGAAGCGAGTCAGATAGTCGCGGAGGCTCTCGTCCTCCGCCTGCTGCAGACTCATTAGCTCTGCAGTGGTCTTCTCTCGGCGGTTGGCCGTAGAGAATTTGCTCTTGAACTTGTTGGAGAGGTCGTTCCAACCGGTTATGGAGCCTTCCTTGAGCCCTTTGGTGATCCAGGATTGGGCAACACCTTTGAGGGTCGTAGGAAAGTATTTACACCAGGTAGCCTCAGACCTCGGGTTCAGATACATGTGCCCCTCGTAAGAGGCAATGTGATCCTTAGGATCTGAGGTACCATCGTAAGTAATATGTGCCGGGATTTTGACCGTTGGCACATGCTCTTCCAGAATCCACTTCTGGAAGGGCGAGTTCGATGGAACCATGACCGCCTTCCCCTTGTACCCGGCCTCAGGGACCTCGCTCCCTCCTCTCTCAGAGGTGGAAGTGGTTTTCGTCCCCGGCTGAGACAAGGTTGGGTGGGGTCCGGTATCCTCTGGGAAGGTGAGGCGGCTATGCACACTCACCTCCCTCGAACCCAAGCGTTCGTGAACGCTTCGGCGGGCGAATTCCGGGTCCTTGGAGGGCCCCATGGAATTCTGAGCTTCAGAGTGGTCAGAGGGTTGAGGGTTCCTCCTCCTCTCCTTACTGGAGTTTCGGGTGTCCCCTCGCCACCTCTGGCCGAGCTGTCTATGTGGTGGAACTTGTCCACCATCATCCTGACCGATCCTCCTTTTCAGGTTTCTCGGCTGGTGATCATCAGGCATCTGGATTGGAGCCCCTTGAGCTTTAAGGAACTCCATGCAGATGGCCACTGCTCTGGCCACTTCCTCGGTGGAGGGTCCGGAGGGAGGAGTCTCCCTCGGATGTGACCTGGATTGCACGCTATGGCGCGGCGGGGAGTTCCTCGCACCTGAGCCACTCGGTCTCGGGGATGGCCCCGGCTGCCGAGTGTGGTGCGAGGTGTTCTCCTCCTGGAGGCTAGGACCTCTTGAGGCTTCCCTTTCCGGAGAAATGGGGGCCTCCGATTCGGAAGAGGCTTGCTCCGGGGAGGGATAAACCGGCTGGCGTTCCCTCACCGTAATCCGGCCTCCTCCCTTCTTAGCCTTCTTGGAACTCTTTCCACTCTTAGTCATGGCGACTGCCGGAGTGTTTGATGACTGACGCGAAATTTAGTAGCGTTCCCCACAGACGGCGCCAAATTGTTTCGGATGAAAACAATCGAATCTCGGAAGATCCTTTTATCTTGAGGGAACTTGGTCTCGGTCCGAACGACGCAGGAGCCGAGGGTTTCCTGCACAACAAATACACGTAAACTAGCCTCGGGGGGGACGCCGAGGAAGGCCCCTCCGATGCTTAAGTCAGTATATTAGAGAGAGAAAGCTGTGCAAGAGTTTAGTTGCTTGAGGCTTTATTGTCTTACCAAGAATTGACCAAATTGTTGGCTTTTATACCTTGGCTAATGAAGGAGGCGGATTGGGCCCGGAAGTCAGTTGGGCTGGGCCAAGCTGATTGGGCCGTTGACTGACCTTGACATGGCTTTGAGGATGTTGATTTTTGACTTTAGCACATTTGGAGAGTTGAACCTTAACCTTGGGCTTTTAATTGGATCATTCAGTGACCAGGCCCAATTGGACTAAATTGGACCCAAACAAGTAGTAACAGATTGGGCGCCGCAACTTGAAGTGTTAGCACATCCATCAACAGGTGGGTTTATGAGTCATTGTGGATGGAATTCGTGTATGGAAAGTATAAGTATGGGTGTGCCGATTCTAGCATGGCCTATGCATTCCGATCAACCAAAAAACGCGTTTTTGGTGAGCAATGTTCTAAGGATTGGTGTAATGGTGAGAGATTGGGAACATCGCAGTGAGATTATAAAGTCGAGTACGATAGAGAATGCAGTGAAAATATTGATGGCTTCAGAGGAAGGAAAGGGGATCAAGAAAAGAGCTACAGAGTTAGGCGAAGCTGTTAGAGGAGCAGTTGCCGAAGGTGGTGTTTCTAATTTAGAAAGGGATGCTTTCATTGCTCATATCACTAGATAATGCGAAAAATCAAGTAGATTTTAATGCAAATTTTGCTACAGGGTTCAATTGTCCTAGTTTGAGTGGTTTCTCCTGTTTTTCTTTATTTATTACGTTGCTACTTCTGCTTTTTATTTGTCTTTATTATTAGTCATGAAAATCCTCTTTATTTGGTTCAGAAATTCCAATGCATTACTCTGGTTAACTAGGGTGCGTGTTTGATATTTGTTTTTTTGTTTTTTAATATTTGGCTTTTAGCTGCCAATTAACTGGTTTTTATATTTTCAACATTTTTTTTTTGAAGAATTATATTTTCAACAATTTTGATAAAATTTGTGCACGAGGCTTCAGTGTAGAGACGTATACTGTTGAAGTGTTATGTTTATATGTTTATAAAATTTGTTCCAAAATTGTTTTCATGTCTATATGTCAGGGGCGGAACTAGGGTGGGTTCAAGTGGGTTCATTGAACCCACTGATTTTTTGAAAAAAATTTAAATTTTTTTTTTTTTAAAAAAAAAAAAAATCAAAATAGGTTTAAATAGAATATTTGTGTATTATATGGCAACAAGTAAAGTTGTAGCCCAGTGGTTATTTTTACCTCCCATCACACAAGAGGTTGTGGGTTCAAAACCCATAACTCACATTTTTTTTTTTAATTTTGTTTCCTGAGCACTGAGCTTTCCTGCTTCGTGCTTCCAGAGTTCGCTTTCCTCTTCCTCATTCAGTCATTCCCCCAAATTGCAAAACCCTAACTTCTTCCTCCAATCCTCCTTCTCTTAATCTCTTCCCGTTCTTCCTCCTTCAGTCCTTCTCTTCCCGTTCTTCCTCCTTCTCTTCCCGGCGCAGCACGGCAGCAGACTAGCAGAGTCAGCAGAACACGGCGGCAGCGGCAGGCCGGCAGCGCACCAGCCACTCACCCAGACCCAGCGTCCCAGCCTCACAGCCGTGTATGGTGTATCGGTGTATGTAGGGGTAAGTGAATTTGGGGATTTTTTTTTTTTGCAAATGTAATTTACTTCTCAATTTGGGGATTTTTTTTGCTAAATCATTGAATACTTGAAAATTGAAATTCATATGCTAAATTCAATTGCTAATATACATTACGATTTACGAATTGCCAATTTTTTGTAAATTGCTGAAGTTTGGTTAATTGGTTATAATTATCTAATTTACTTCTCAAGTTCTCAATTTGGGGATTTTTTTGTATTTCGTATGCTATTTTCTGATTTTCATATGCTATTTTCTGATTTTTTTGTAAAAGCCGGTTGTTTAGCTACTGCAAAGTTGCTGCTGGAGGTTTAGTTGTTGCTGGATTTGCAAAACTAGCTTCTTTCCGTGAAGGCAGTGGCAATGGCATGTTTCAAGTTAGAGAATGGTTCAAAAATATTCGCGGAAAAGGATCAGAGAATAACTAAGGACTTATAAGCATTCAAGTGTTCTTATTATGGATTATGTTAATTAGTTTTTGTGAGTTTAAGCTTATTACAATTATATATTCAGTTGAAAATCTAATTAGGTAATTTAACATTTTTAGTTGGGTGATAAAATTGGACTCTGCCTTACAAGCATTAGAACTAGGAGAAATTGAAAGTGGGCAAGGTTTAAACCAAGAACATGGCTTAGGTAGGCCTGGTGATACTAGGTGGGGATCACATTACAAAACTGTTTCAAATGTTACCGCATTGTATGCTACTATTGTTAAAGTTCTTGAGAAGATTGGATCAAATAAGATTTATAAGGATGATCGCGTGAAGGCTATCACTGTCATGTCTACATTTGAATCATTTGAATTTGTATTTATGATACATTTGATGTCCGAAATATTTGGGATTACTGATAAATTGTGTCAAGCTCTGCAAAAGGGGGACCAAGATATTGTTAATGCCATGACATATGTTAAATTGACTAAGGAGGGATTACAACAAATGAGGGACCATGGGTGGGAAGACTTTTTACATCTTGTGGTTTGTTTTTGTGTTAAACATGATGTAGAAGTTCCTACTATGGATGATATGTATGTTCCTCGTGGAAGGTCAAGACGCTTCTTTGCCAAAGTTTCAAATCTTCATCGATTTCGGGTAGAAATGTTTATAAGTGTTATTGATTTACAACTCCAAGAGCTCAATAGTAGATTTGATGAAGAAAATATGGAGTTACTTATTTGTGTGTCATGCTTAAACCCGATCAATTCATTTGCGGCATTTGATATGCAAAAGTTGTTGAGACTTGCTGAGTTATATCCCAAAGAGTTTCCAACTAATGATATGACGATGACTGCACTTCGTCATGAGCTTCAATTTTATATTAATGATGTGCGCCAAGATGCAAGGTTTGGAGACTTGAAGGGTATTCATGAGCTTTCTATGATGCTTGTTGAAACAAATAAGCATACTACTTACAACTTAGTTTACTTGCTTATAAGACTAGCATTGATCCTTCCGGTTGCAACTGCAAGCGTGGAACGAGTGTTTTCCTCAATGACATACGTAAAAAATAAGTTGCGAAATAGTATGGGTGATCAACTATTGAATGATAATTTAGTCACTTTTCTTGAAAGAGATTTATTTTCAAGAGTTAGTGATGATGATGTATTGGAACGCTTCCAAAGTATGAAGACTCGAAGAATGCTTCTGTAGTCTTTTTTTTTTTTTTTTTTTCATTTTTCTATGTGTAATCTATTTGTAATCCATAGTTTGAAATTATTTATGTACTGAATATTTAATTATTGTATTTTTATTCCTTTGTTAATTATGATTTCAAATTTCGGAAGTTTCGAACCCACACTTCGAAAATCCTGGTGACGCCACTGCTATATGTTTATAATTTTGGTTTCATTTTCAGTTTCTTCGATCTTGTTGTGAGGAGTATATATATTAAACATGGCAAGGTTTGAATTTACTCAAAAAAAAAAAAAAAATAATAATAATAATAATAATAATAATAATAATAATAATTTACTCACCGTTAGAGACTCACCCAACATAAGTCAGGTGGACTATACGAATTGGATTCGAAGTCGGGACTATACAAATCCGATGACCTTCTGATTTTTTTATTTTTTTATCAACCGTTATGGAAACAAAACCCCAATTATATTTTATTGACCATTATACAACAAGTGTAAATGACAAAGAAAACTTATACTACCTTTATTTTATATTATTTATAATAATTAGACATTTTGTAATTACACTTAATGTAAAATAATCGTTGTAAATAATATAAAATGGAGGTAGTATTTTAAGATCGACGAAGCCAACGTCTCAAAATTGGAAGCACACGGGTAACAACAAAAAAGCTACACCAATTAAACTTTTGACTCATATATACTACTAGTCAACTTAAATTTCTTTGTGCGCACTACAAGTTTTTAACAAATTATAAATTATAAATACATAAAAAAACAAGGCTCAACCAACCCCAAGAAAACAAAGTGACTAAAAATGAATAACCAAAATCCTCAAGTGGTAGTAGTAATGGTACCTCTTCCCATCCAAGGCCATCTCAACCAACTCCTCCACCTCTCCCACCTCATCACCTCTTACGGAATCCCAGTCCATTATGCGGGCTCCTCCATCCATAACCACCAAGCTAAGCTTCGTCTAAATGGTTGGGACACACAAAACTTAACAAAAATTAACTTCCATGATTTCGAACTTCCTCCTTATGATTCACCTCCTCCAAATGCCGACCTCTTAGTCCCTTTTCCCCAACACTTCCAACCCCTATTAGAGGCTTCCATGCATCTTCGACAACCCGTGTCAAACCTCTTGCAACAACTCTCGGTCAAGTATAACCGAGTCGTAGTCATCCATGACATTCTTATGGCTTATGTTGTCCAAGATATTAAGCTCATTTCGAATGGTGAAACATACAACTTCATTCCTACATCCGCGTTTACCTTTTTCGCCGATGCATGGAGTAGCATACCCGAGAAAGATAGGCCATTTCAGTTGGATTCAAATGATATCCTTGAAGGTATCCCGGCTATAGATGGGTGTCATACTCAAGCTATGACGGAGTTTGCACTCAATCAAGTGAAACTTCTCGGGTTCGAGTCAGGTTGGATCTACAACACCTCAAGAGTCATAGACGGTAGATATGTTCAATTGTTGGAGAGGCTATCTCTAACAACACCGCATATAAAATACTTTGCCTTAGGACCTTTTCATCCGGTTGTTATCAAAAGCGAAAGTGGCGAAAATAAACATCATTGCCTTAAATGGTTAGACGTGCAAGAGAAGGGTTCGGTGATATACGTGTCCTTCGGGTCAACAACATCATTGACTGATGATCAGATTGAAGAGTTGGCAAACGGGTTGGAAAGATGTGGGGAGAAGTTTATTTGGGTGCTCCGAAAAGAAGATTCGAACAACGTCTTTGTAGATGCTGATAAAAAGAAAAAACCTCAACTTCCTGAAGGTTATGATGAAAGAGTAAAAGATAGAGGAATAGTAGTTAAAGATTGGGCGCCGCAGCTAGAAATCTTGGCTCATCCATCAGTTGGCGGGTTCATGAGTCATTGTGGGTGGAATTCGTGTATGGAAAGTATAAGTATGGGTGTGCCAATTCTAGCCTGGCCTATGCATTCTGATCAACCAAAGAACGCGTTTTTGGTTAGCAATGTTATAAGGACTGGTGTAATGGTGAGAGACAGTGGCGGACCCAGGAATTTCCGACTGGTGAGTCACAATCGATAATCAAATATGTAAAATAAAATTTCACAATGACATGTAAGGAGACATTTACTTCCTAAACTTGAAAATAAACAACACGATTGGAGACCAAATTAACTACAACGGATGTAGCCTAAATACATATCAGTCCGCAACATGTTTTACAGGATGATCAATAATTTTGAAGCAATGCCTCAAGGCGTAAAAGCAATCCTTTTTTGGCACTTCAATATGATTCAAGCATATGATCAGGAATAAACACGAATAACAATTGATTCACAATACAAGTATACAATATTCCTAGCATGAAATAGACTCAAGAATTACAGAAATTGCCCAAATTAAAACCAAAATTACAGAGACTCACCCATATCCAGGCAAATTAACAATATACCAACTCTTGTTGATTAGAAAATGATTGATAAGTTGAGTCTTCCCTGCATATAAATTCAACAACCTAATCAAACACAAAGTTAACAAAACAAATGAAATCACAAGTATGAATCATATGCAAATAACCCCAACAGCGAATTACCCCTATTCATAATTGGTTGGACGGTTCATATTCAACTAAATCAAGCAATATTCAACTAAATCAAGCAATATCCCCCAGAAACAAAAGCACAATTCCAGATAGCTAAGCGACATCATGAACTCATAAAGCCCGGTAAGAAGTATATACAAAAAAAAGTACATGCCAGAAACAAAAGAGATACCTTCACAGATCTCCTAACCCCAACAGAACAAGCAACTCTGCAACAGCAGACCCACAAGCAATGCAATCAGCAAGCCTGTAACCCGGAAAAAACACAAATTTAAACCGGGGACAAATAAACTCCAAAAACAGCGGAAATAGAAGCTGTTCTCTTAAAATACAATTAGGCAAAGCATACAGCTAATATGTAACAGATCAATTTAGAACAAATAATCAATAAGCTCTTGGAATCTATACGCCATAATCAAAGCAGAGGCAAAACAGCTATCACCCACACAAACAATCTAGATCAAATTACGGGTAAACTGTCTAAATTTATTAATAATAATTTCATAAATTCAAAGTCCTATTTGTCAGGGATTCAAAATTTGTAGTCCAAATTACATCTGCGAGATCATAAAGAAACCAAAATGTAATGAAACCACCTCTCAAAAGAATACCTATGCACAGGCAACTCAAATAGCTCAAATATCCGGTCACAACTTCAGTTTCTAGAGGAAAAATTCCCAAATCGGCTAATTAAAACAAATCTTCAGTTTCTAATCGGCTAATCATATTAAAATAAATCATTTGGGACTTAAAAATTATAATGAAGACAATTAGACAAAACTATAACTAAACACAGTCAAAAGACTCAAAACCAATCTTCCATTTCTACTTTTTTTAGACGAAATTGTTTAGTTTAAGCAAACAAAATGATTATACATATAGCTCATAGCAAGTACTTTATTTGAGCACAAATTCCACATAAATTAAGCTAATTAAACTTCAAAACAATCCTTATTCACACAAAAATCAGCTAATCCTGACTACCCATTAGTAGATAATAAAACCCCTTCAACTTTCCGAGCAAAAACTGGCACAAAACACAAATTTAAACAAAAATGACATAATTAAATCAAATACAGAAAACCTACATCAAAAATCCCCAAATCGTAAATTAAATTAGGCAATTAGCAAATGAAAAACACACATGAAGCCAAACACATTCAAAATTCTAGCTACTTTGCATATCTATATGCACAAATCGAACCTCACCATCGCTGCTCTCCACCACCACCAACAGTTACAAATCGAAACCCTAGAAATCGAAAAAAAAATCAAAGATTTGAACTAGTAATTATGCAAAGAAACCTTAAATTTGAAATTTAGAGGGGAAAGTTTAAAGAAGCTCATACCATGAACACCAAAAAAAATCCTAGAAATCAAACCACACAGTCGTTATCTCTCACGACCACCATGACCATTAGTGAATGAGGAGGGAGAATGAAAGGGGAACGCGAAATGTTGTTGCAGCTGCGGCGAGGAGAAGGTGAAAGGGGAACAGGCTGAAGTTAGAATTTTTTATTTTTTTTTTTTAAAAAAAAAAAAAGAAAACTTAGAATTTTTTTTGGGCCCTGGTGAGTCACTTGACCCACCAGGCACAAGCCCAGGTCCGCCACTGGTGAGAGATTGGGAACATCGCGGTGAGATTGTAAAGTCAAGTACGATAGAGAATGTGGTGAAAATATTGATGGCATCACAAGAAGGAAAGAAGATAAAGAATAGAGCTGCAAAATTAGGCGATGATGTTAGAAGATCAGTTGCGGAAGGTGGTGTTTCTGGTTTAGAAAGAGATGCTTTCATTGCTCATATCTCTAGATAATGCTACCTTTGAGTTGTTTTCTTACTTAGTGACATTTGGATCGGGTTTGATTTTTTTATTTTTTTTCCTTAATTAGTGTACACCTTCGAAAATTGCTAGATCAAAATAATAATAATAATAATAATAATAATAATAATAATAATAATAATAATAATAATAATAATAATAATAATAATTAAAAAAAATAACGGTACTAATCAATCATGAATGTTTTTGCAAGATCCATTACTTAATTATTAGAATCAATCGGTTTGATTCCATTTGTTTTAGATTTGGTCGTATTTGATATCTCTTAATTATCTGTGTAAGAGTTGAAATCAATTGTTAGTTGTCTTTTTTTTTTTATGGGCTGATTTGATCGAAATCAGTTCAATTTCAATAGAAGTTACAATATAGTTACGTTATTTTGAGTGTAGTATGAATTTTACTTGAAAGATTCACAACAAGAAAACATTTATGTGAAACTTGATTGCATACTCCCTTGGTTTCCAATAAACGCAAAATGTTGACCTTTAAGCTTTTCATCAACTTCCTTGGATCGTTAGAATGCATATATTCTTTGAGAGGGTATTAGTACGAGGAATAGATATATTTTCTACTTAGCTTTGTTTTTTACTCATCAGTAGTAATTTTCATGCACAATATTTTTTGTGAATGTTAATTTATTCATATTAGCAATTTGGCATTATTTGAACATATCATAATGTGATTAGTGACAAGTAATAAAACATTCATATATTCAAACAAATATGTGTATGTAGTCAGTTTCTTAGATAATTGCCTTATAAAAAAAGTCAAAAACATGAACAAGTAACAACTAAAGATGTAGGTAATTGTAGGAACTGGTTGATGGTTATCATGTTTTTGCTCCACGTCATATAGATTTTCAAGTATGTACATAGATCATAGATGTGGTTGCTGAAAGATGTTTATCAAGCTTTGGATTTGTTTAATAAATATACTCCGTTAGTAGCAGATGCGCAAAAAAAAAATGCTAATATTCATGCTATCTGTCCTATTAAGATTGTCGCATTTTTATAAAAATATTTTGAATTTAAAAGGGTAGAACAAAGGGAGTACAAGTATAAAATAAATCGATGTAGATTTCAAGTGCCTATTGAGAAATTTGTCTTGATCTTGATTATTCTAGGGCGTTGATATTGCCAAGGCAAATTATCTCCCCGATGTCTGTAATCTTTAAGAATTTAAATATGTCAATTATTAATTTAATAAAATACTTTGTAATATTTTGTTGCCTATAATATTAGTCCATAGCATCCCAATATTCCAATTAAAATCTTTTCAACTCCAACTACTAATTATTCTCATCAAAATCTGCAACTAATTAAATTATTCACCATGGTTCAAATAAAATAAAATATAGTCGTAGCAAGAAATATAAAGGCAGACCGAAACTTAACCTCACAGAGTGGTATTTATACTCTTTTAATTATTAGTTTAATGATTATATGAAGTTTTTTGTTTTTTTTTTTTTTGTTTTTTTTTTTTTAAACTTTAACATTTGACTAACTAATATTTCGTATATTTTTTGGTGTTGATTATAAGCAGGGTTTATGCATATGAATCGACATTATATTTTTTTGAGAAATGATGACTAGTTATGTTTATCGTCTTATTTTTAAATAGTTGTTATGTAATATTTGAATTTTTTTTCTCAGTTGATATGAATGATTCTCCTTATATTGATTATTAGAATGCATTAATTAACAAAAAGTATTTGTGCATGCATGTAATAGTGGTATGTAGTACTGACAATGAACGGGAACAAATAAGAATGTTGCATATCCTTACAAAAAAATATATACATATATAAATGAATCCAATAAATAAGACTATTCAAAAATAAAATAAAAAATATTGGGATACTAATAGTATATGCAATAAAATATTACAAAGTATTTTATTGAATAAATAAGTTTGACATATTTAGATTCTCAAAGATTACGAGAATTGAATAGATAATATGCCTTGAAATTGATTTTTTTGCCTTGTCAATATAAGCACCCTTATTCTATTGTCAACTAACCATTTTAACAATCATGAGTCAAAAAATTAGGCGGGTGATTTGGTCGGTTGGTTCCTAAGCTGGAATTTTCTTTTGGTTTTTAATTTTTACCAAATGTCTGTAGCTAATTAGATCACTTGACTAATTTATTTTCACCAATCACGATCTATGCTAGATCGAATTTGTTTAGATATCCTTACCTTTTAAAAAGTATGAAAAATAACTTATGAATAGTGTGAAAATAATTATATCCTTAAAGATGTTTCTTTACCTATATGCAGCCTCGTATCTGAGGCAGGGCAGTCGGGGCGGCCGCCCGGGGCTCAGAATGGGAAGCCCAAATTAATATTAGGAAAAAAAAGAAAAAAAACAATTTCATTTAATTAAAAATAATTTATCTTGATTTTTTATAAAATAATTTTATCTTGATGTACTATTAAGCAACTTTATCTTGATTTTTTATAAAATAATTTTATCTTGATGTAAGTTTTGTGTTTGATGTATATACTATGGTGGATGCTAATTGAGTTGGAAAAAAATGACTTTTTTTTTTATAATGAAAATCAGAAATTAACTTACTCTGCATTAAACAATAATCATTTTATTACTCTGCATTAAACAATGATCAGTTTATAAATTTTATTTAATGTTCTTACATACCCTTAAAATTCATAATGTTAACATCACTTTTTAAGTAGGGCCCCATATTACAAGTTCGCCCATAGGCAACCAAAATATCAGAAACCTACCTATATGCCCCTATTAATTAATATGATGTTAATTGTCTCTAAGTTTTTTCCTTATGATTTAATAATTTAACTCTTATGAATAGTTTTTGGTCAATTATACCCTCTAAAATATTTATTTACTTATTTACCCTCATTAACGTTAATTGTATTTTTTAAAAACTCTTAACAATAATGTACATACCTTTATACCTTTCAAAATATTTGTTATAAATTTTTCCTCATTATGTTGCCAACAACTAAAAATACTTCGGACTATGATTACACGATGTAAATATACTCCACATTTTGAATATCACTATTAAAACTTTGACCAACTATTCAAATCGTCTAGAAAGAAAGAAGAGTTGTAATGCCAAAAAAGAAAAATAAAAATACAAAAGACTAGACTAATGTCTATGTCTTTGACTAATGGAGGGGATACGACAATTTCAGAAGAATTGTCTAATGTCTTTGAATAATCTGGAAACTGGCCATCAATAATGGACCCTTGAAGATAAGAAAGCTAAGTTACAATGCAATGTCACGGAGTATTTTGATTTGTAAACAATAACAAAAAGCTTGTCACAATTGGACCCCTTAACCGCTTGTAGACAAAAGTTGTACGAGACTTTTATTTAGTGGAAAATTAAATAACCATTTAGAAGGTTGTAGTGTTCATGTACGATTCACGATTGAATCATGTATTAATCAAGTCGAGTTTAAATACTAGTTTTTCCTATTAATCAACTTTGTACTTTTGACCTTTGAAAATTTCAAAATCAAACATGTTTGGGGTCCAAAATGCTTATATTTGGGCCCAATTATAATGAAAATAATAAAAGCCCAATAGGCAAGGTACAACCCTTCAATACATTTGCCAAGTCAATTATAGCAAGGCCCAATCAAATGTCAGCCCATTTGATTGATCAAGCCCAATCTAACTTATGGAACAAAGGTATAAAAGCTTTCATTTCAACACAATTACATTCATTCACATTAAATGCCTCAAGCAACAAATACTCTTGCATAGCTTTTTCTCTAATACTTTTGCATCCGTACTGACTTCGGCATCGGAGGGGTCTTCCTCGGCACACCCCCCGAGGCTAGTTTACGTTTGCATTGCTGTGTAGGAAATCCTCAATTCAGTCATCACTCGAATTGGGCTTCGTCTCCACTCATCCGAAGGGCCAGCCGAAGGCCCATTGTTTTCTGACCGAAACAATTTGGCGCCGTCTGTGGGGATACTTACAAAAATTCAGCCAAAAATCTCATTCGAATCTTAGCCAATTCAAAAAAAATGACTAAGAGTGCAAAGAGCTCTAAAAAAGCTAGGAAGACCGGTCTTATAACGGTAAGGGCCGGTAGAACACCTTCACCGTCGCCTGAACCGACTGCTTCCAACTCCCCGAGGGGAGAAAATTCGCATGGAGGATCTCCTTCCCAGCAGGATTACCTAAACGGAAACTCGCCGAGGGATAGTGAGGTTCACAAGCGTGATCCTTCACCGAGCATGCGCTCAACTCCTCCTACCGGACCATCAACCGAGGAGGTCATGAAAGCCATGGCTGTGTGCATGGAATTCATGCATACTTTAGGGGAACGCTTCCCACCAGTAAAAAAGCCACCCTGGCCTAGATCAAATGATCGAAAGAGGAAGAGCATAACCGAGGGAGAGAAGCAGGCTCCATCCTCAAAAGGGGAAGGCAGCCGAAGGGTTGGGCATCCAGGCGGTTCTAGGCAGAATCAGAGGAGAGGCTCCGGCCACTCCAAAAGTTCGAAAGCTCGGAACTCCGAGGATCATCATGACAGCCACAATGTTTCTCGCTGAAGCGTTCACGAACGCCTAGGTGGAAAAGGAGGAGTGCATAGTCGCCTCACCTTCCCAGAAGGGTCTCGTCCCTCCATGTCACGCGAGGGGACACCCCCTGCATCCACCTCTCTGAGTGGGAGAAGTAGGGTTCCTTCGGCGCGGCAGAAGGGAAAGGCTGTAATGGTTCCAACCCCGTTCCCCATTCCAAAGGTGGATACTGGAGGAACATGTGCCAACGGTTAAAATTCCGGCACACATTACATATGACGGTACTTCGGATCCGAAGGACCACATTGCCTCCTATGAGGGGCATATGTACCTTAACCCCAGGTCCGAAGCTACCTGGTGTAAGTACTTCTCGACGACCCTTAAAGGTGTGGCCCAATCATGGATCACCAAAGGGCTGAAGGAAGGCTCAATAACTGGCTAGAGCGATCTAGCCAATAAATTCAAGAGCAAGTTTTCCACGGCTAATCGCCGAGAGAAAACCACTGCAAAGCTCATGGGCCTGCAACAAGCGGAGGACGAAAGTCTCCGAGATTATTTGACTCGCTTCAGCAACGAGTCATCCAGAATAACAAGTCTGGATCAAAGCCTAGCCGTATTTGCATTACGGAATGGCTTACAAGCTGGCAAATTTTTAGATTTCATGGTCATGCATCCCCCGCAGACCCTGGAAGAAGCCCTCGACGCTTCGGATAAATTTATCCGAGCTGAGGAATGGAACAAGGCGAAGCTGCAATCCCAATCAGGGCTTGTGAAGCCAAAAGGGCAGCAGGCTGAAGTTCCAGTGTCAAGGAAAGGGAAGGCAAAAGCCTCAGAACCTCCCTTGGCCGCTGAGCCGAAGAAGGATAAGGCTCCCTATCTAGGGAAATTTGAATCTTACACCCCTCTCACCTTACCACGTACTAAAATTTTTAGTGTGACGAGGGAGGAGGGAAGATTCAGAAAGCCGAAGCCACCTCCTTCTTGGCATCAAAATAAAGGGAAGGACCTTTAGTGTGAGTTCCACGAATCTCGTGGGCATCGCACCGAGGATTGCCTTCAGGTGAAGGACCAGATCGAAGAGCTGGTCCAAAAAAGATATCTAAAAAAATATGTCGCGGAACGCCGCGAAGAGAAGAAGACCGAGAAAGATTCTCGACAAGAATTGGACTATCACCGGAAAAGGGATAGACCTCCCGAAGGAGGGCACAATGACATCCTGACCATTTCCGGTGGCATATCTCGGAACGCACTCAAGCGCCATCTGAGGGGTCTAACCCATCAGATCCATCATGCCGAGTTCCAGAAGCCGCAGTCTCCGGTGCCGAACATGACGTTCACATCCGAAGACTGCAGGGGGGTGGTGTACCCCCATGATGACCCATTGGTTATCATGACAAGCATCGCAAACCACAACGCCTATCGGACACTGGTAGACGGTGGCAGCGGGGCGAATATACTTTTTCGGAAGGCATTCGACCAGCTGAAGTTGGAGAGCAGGCATTTGACTCCGGTCCCTTATCCGGTCACTGGATTCAACGGCTCTTCTTCATATCCGGATGGGAAAATTCTTCTTCCCGTCAGCCTCGACCAAGACCGGGCAAGACGAAGCATCATGGCCGAATTCTTGGTCATCGACGCCCCGTCAGTTTACAACGTCATCATGGGGAGACCACTCATCCATGATGTTCAAGGAGTAGTCTCGACATATCATTAGTCGATGATTTATGTCTCAGACGAAGGACGCTCCGAGAAAATACTGGGTAGCCAAAGAGAGGCCCGGGAATGCAACTCCCTCAAGCCATCCAAGAGTCGCCGAAGCGACAAGGATGATGAGGAAGAAAAAGAGAGAGAAAAGGAGCGGGGTACTAAAAGGCTGAAAGGCCTAAGTGCTTCAGCTCAGGTGTCCCCAAAAAAGAAAGCATCTTTAGGGACCGAAAAGGCGGGCTCTTCGGTCAGACTGAAAGATTCGGACGAGGGCCAGCTGAAGAAAGGAAGGTCGACTGAGATTGACAGCAGACCTGAACCTGAAGAATCTGGCTCCAAGGCAATGGAGTCAGACGAGCAAACTGAATCTATCCAGTTGACCGAGGGGGATACTGAAAAATGCGTCAAGATCGGACAAGGGTTAGATCCGAACCTCCATGTTGAACTAATCCAACTCCTTCGGGACAACAGAGATGTGTTCGCATTCTCAGCAGCTGACATGCCGGGAATTGATCCGAACCTCATCTCGCACAAGCTTAATGTCGACCCCACATGTCGGCCAATTAAGCAGAAGAAGCAGAACTACTCCGCTCAGAAGAACCAGGACATCGTAGCCGAAGTCAAGAAACTTCTGGACGCAGGGTTCATTGAGCCCTACCAATACCCTGAATGGCTGGCGAATGTAGTAATGGTTCAGAAAGCTAATGGCTCCTAGAGGATGTGCGTTGACTTCACGAATCTGAATAGGGCCTGTCCGAAGGACTTCTATCCCTTGCCGAGAATTGACCAACTGGTTGACTCGACAAGTGGCCATGCTCTGCTCAGCTTCATGGACGCATTTTCTGGGTACCATCAGATTTTCATGCACCCCGATGACAGAGCAAAAACGGCATTTGTTACAAGCGTCGGGGTGTATAATTACAAAATGATGCCCTTCGGCCTGAAGAACGCCGGGGCTACATATCAGAGGTTGGTGGATCAAGTGTTTGCCGAACAAAAAGGCCGCAACATGGAGGTCTATGTTGACGATTCCATCGTCAAAAGCAAAGAGGCAAAAGATCATGTTGCGGACCTAGCTGAAACGTTCGCCACCCTGAGAAAGCATCAGATGAAGTTGAATCCGAAAAAATATGTCTTCGGCGTGAGGTCTGGGAAATTCCTAGGTTTCATGGTCAGCAAGAGGGGGATTGACGCCAATCCCGCCAATGTGCAAGCAGCTCTTGATCTTCCCGAGCCGAAGACGAAAAGGGACATTCAGCGCCTTATGGGGAGAATGGCCGCCTTGTCCAGGTTCATCTCAAAAGCCTCGGACAAAGGTCTGCCCTTCTTCAAGGCGCTGAAATTTCCGAAATCAAAGGAGCTCATATGGGAAGATGAGCAGAAAGTAGCCTTCCAGCAGCTCCGGGAGCACTTGGCAAATCTTCCAACGCTGGCAAGGCCAGCTGAAGGAGAAATCTTGTACTTATACGTAGCAGTTAGCCCTGCTACGGTGAGTGCGGTGCTGCTGAAGGAAGAAGAAAAGGTTCAGCAACCGATCTACTTCGTCAGTCATACTTTGACTGATGCCGAAACGCGCTACCCTCTGCTTGAGAAAGTTGCATATGCAGTGGTAGTAGCAGCTCGGAAGTTAAGACCTTACTTTGATTCGCATCAGATTGTGGTCCTAACAGATCAACCGCTGGAAAAAGTCCTCGGCAAGGTGGAAAAATCAGGCAGACTAACAAAGTGGGCCTTCGAGCTCACCGAGTTCAGCATAAGCTACCAGCCGAGGGCAGCAATCAAAGCCTAAGCCCTAGCAGACTTCCTAGCCGAGTGTTCCTATCAGGAAACACTCGACGAAGGGAAGGGGACTTGGACTGTATTCACGGATGGCTCAGCCACCGTAAATGGCTCGGGGGCTGGGGTGGTAATCACTTCTCCCGAGGGCAAAAACTTCGAGTATGCACTCAAATTCTCATTTAAGGCTTCTAACAACGAAGCAGAATATGAAGCAGCAGTTGCTGGCTTGGAATTGTGCATAGCTCTCGAAGCCGAACATGTCTGTCTGAAGACAGACTATCAGCTAGTCGCTAACCAGATTCAGGGCGAGTATGAGGCCAAAGAGCCCTCCATGATCTCCTATCTTGCCAAGATCAAATCAGTTATAGCGAAGCTGAGAACTTTTGAAATCGAGCTGATACCAAGGGGTCAGAATGCTCAAGCCGATGCACTCTCTAAACTTGCAAGTTCAACTCTTACATAGCTGAATCGGTCCATATACGTGGAGGTGCGCCGAAACAGAAGCATTGACCCAGAAGTTGAGGTTCAGTGCGCTGAGGTTGAGCCTAGCTGGATGGACCCCATCTTGGCTTACAAGCTGCAAGGAACGTTGTCCGAGGACAAGAACTTAGCAGCAAAAATGAAAAGGGTAGCCTCAAGGTTCATTGTCTACAAGGGGGAGCTGCTGAAAAAATCCTTCTCAGCCCCACTGCTGAAATGTGTGGGTCCAACAGATGCGGATTACATCCTTCGGGAGATCCACTTCAGCATCTGTGGAAACCACATTGGGGGGAGAACCCTGGCCCATAAGGCACTACGGGCAGGATACTATTGGCCAACTATGATCCAAGACGCTAAGGACTTGGTGCGAAAATGCGAAAAATGTCAAAAATTCGCACCCGTTATTCACAGGCCTTCAAGGGACCTTCAGCCGATCCTGAATCCACTCCCCTTTGCTCAATGGGGGTTGGATATTTTAGGACCATTCCCCGAGGCTCCCTACCAGAAAAAATGGCTGAAAAAATGGCTCCCTACCAGAATCGACTATTTCAGCAAATAGATAGAGGCCGAAGCAGCTTCAAACATAACTGAGCAAACTGTCAAGAAATTCATCTGGCAGAATATCATCACGCGCTTCGGCATCCCAAAAGTGCTTGTCTTCGATCATGGAAGACAATTTGACAATCTGCCGCTGAGGCGGTACACAGATCAGTTCAGCATAAAGCTGGCATATTCAGCAGTCTGCCATCCTCAAAGTAATGGCCATGCCGAAGCTGCAAATAAACAGATACTCAACGCTCTCAAGTTGAAGATCAAAAGTCCAAGTGGATAGAGGAACTTCCTGGAACTCTATGGTCACTTCGGATAACTGAAAAAGAGGCCACGGGGCATTCACCTTTTGAATTGGTGTATGGGTCCGAAGCCATTTTGCCAGTGGAAATTGGCTCAGAAAGCCTCCGAGTCAATCAGTTCTCGGCCGAAGAAAATGAGCATCTCATGAAAAAGTCCCTCGATTTCTTAGATGAGATCCGAGATTCAGCGAGGGACAGAATGGCGGCATACAAGCAGAGAATTAGTAAATTCTACAACCGAAGAGTCCAGTCAAGACTCCTTAAAGTTGGGGACTTGGTTCTTCGGAATGCCGCCGCTGTTCAGAAAAGCCGCATCCATGGGAAGCTCTCAGCTAACTGGGAAGGGCCTTATGAAATATATGATGAGCTCCAACCAGGAACTTATTGTCTTCGGCAGTTAGACGGAACTGAGTTGAAAAACCACTGGAACGCAAATGTACTTAGAAAATTTCATGTTTGAAAAATCTGTGTAAGTACATTCCCTTCAGATTAATGAAAGGCCTTTGAGCCACAATTATTCATAATTTTATTCTGCTTTCAGTATTTCTGTCCTTGCCGATTTTTGAAAAAAACTCAGGGTTTACACCCGGTGCTGTCCGAAGCATTGCATTGTGATGCACTGTGCTTCGGCAAGCCGGAAAACCTGCCAAAATGAGAGCGGTAAATAGAACCTCGAGGTATTGCATAGTGATGCACTGTACCTCGGATGGATTTGCTGCTCTCGGCGAAGAGGCCATAGGCTCATCTAGGACATAGCCGAAAATAGGAATTGATAGAGTGCCCGAAGCATTGCATAGTAATGCCTTGTGCTTCGGCAAGTCAATTCCGGGTAGTGATTGCACCTCTGAAGTATCGCATAATTATGCCTTGTAATTCAGATGATCACTGCCCTGGCATTATGTCCAAGGTAGTCATTCCCTCGGATGAATCAAAATCGACCAAAATACAAGGAATAAACATATATATATGCAAGCTATAACAAAGCTTCAGTAGCACTCAGAACCCTGAAGACATCACCTTCAAAGTTCTGGGGGGCAGAAGGCGCTTACACGCTGAACTGCTCTCAGCAAGCTCTTGTCTGAAGCCCTTGACACTTGGAAAAATTCCATGAAAAACCAAGTAAAACGGTTAAAGTGTTATCAGCTGAAGAACTCTTAGCCGAAGCTTTGTACTTAGCCAAATTTTGAAAAAATTCAGAAAAAAGGCAATCAAATGCAAAGCTGGAAAAATAGGCAGAAGAAGAGGAAACAGCTAAAAATTCTATTTCATCTACCAAAGACTGAAATATCACAAACATCAAGTTTAAGCTACAGAAACCAAATTCAGAAGTTTAAGCTACAGAAATTCAAAGTCGGCAGCCGCCCACATAGCGGAAAACACAGCTGCCGAAAGTACACAAAAACAGATAAAAAGTTTATACAAAGGAAAGCTGAAACAAAAGAACAGGCAAAAGCTGATGCGGCGTTTACAAATTAAGCGCATGTTGATCCGCAAGACTCAGAAGACGGCTGCCCGAGTTCCTATGCTTCAGCATTCTCTAGAACTCCAGATGGACCAGCCCCAACTGAAGAGGAGGCAGGACCAGTAGCTTCAGCCTCTTTGGCAGCTTCCTCAGCCTCCTTAGCTTCAGCCTCGGCCTGGCGGACTAGAAAGTCAATCTCAGCCTGGCTAGCCTCGTTGATCTGAGGGTTGTCAGCGTCCATTGACCAAGCCTCAACCTGGTCCTAGTTCATATCAGGGGCAGCATGCAGAGCCAAGCGCCGAGCCGTCTTCCAGCCGTTCTCAAAACCCTCACCATATTCAGCTTCGGTGTAAATCCTGGTTTTGAGCAGCTCCTTGGCATCCAGCAGCTCGGCCTTCTAAGCCTCCAGGTCGTCCTTCAGCTTCTAGTTCGCGGCGAGCAGATCATCTTTTTCCTTTTTAGCCTCTTCCCGAACTTGAGCCAGCTGCTGCTCATGGGCAGAGATGAGAAGTTGTTGAGCATCAGCATCTTCTTTGGCCTTGGCCTCAAGCCGAGACCGGAACTCAGCGAGGGTATTAGCTCCAAACTCTTTCATGAGAGATTGGCCCTCCTCGAGCCAAGGGAAGACTATCTGCTCCAGGCCTCGGCTGAAGGTGCGGAAGTTCTCCTCCATTCTCTGCATCTCCCGCTTAACAGCTGAGACATCGTCCTCAGCCTTTGCCTGCTTCAGCTCAGCTAGCCGAGCCAGAATCTCAGCCTCTTCGACCTTGGCTGCTTGGCTCTGAAGCTCGTCAAACATTTCCACAGTAAGGAAATGATTGTGCACAGCCTGCAAGACCCAACAGTAGCAGATTATGCAGTTAGCCGAAGTCCAACACTTGGCAAAAAAAAAAAAAATGCAAGTGTAGGAAGGTTACCTGCATCAGAACCCTTTGGTTCTCAAGAAGAGGATGGGGCACGCTTTCTAAGGACTCAGCAGCTCCTGCAGCAGCGCCATGCATCCATGCCTTAGCCCTCTCAATGGCCGAAAGATTGCCCAAATTGCCGAAATAGGAAAGGGCAGAATCACGCCTATCCTCAATAATTGTGCGGGCATGACCAGGAACAAGGACCGAGGGCGCTGAGCCGAACCCCATCTCAGCTGATTGGAAAGTTCGGAAGGAGGTGGCAGCTGAACTGGAGGGAATATTCGTATGCGCAGACATTGTAGCATCATTCAGCTGCGGCTCGCTCTCCTTCTCAACGAGCTTCGGATCCTCATCCTGAATCCCCAACACTTCTACCTCGTGCTGAACCTCCTCAGAAAATGAATGGTTCGGGCACGTGGCGAGGAGGCGAGGGGTCGACCGGCACATCGGCCACTTCAATGAAAACTTCCCGAGAGGGGGAAGTAACCTCAGCCGCCTCTTTTTGAACCTCTTCTAGCCGAGGCCTTTTGACAGGAAGCTCTGGTGCCTTGAATTGACCAGGCCGAACCAAAGGTCTTCTTTTTCCGCCAGCTATATCTTCGGCAGCAGGTTCAGAGGGGGCAGGCTCTTCTTTCTCTAATTCTTCTTCCCCTTCGGACTGCAGAAGCAAAGAAAGAGGGGGCAGGAAGACGAGTAAGAAATCAGAGAAGTAAAAAAAAACACAACAACAAACAGCAAGGAAGCTCAAGGCAGAAGCACACAAATGTTTCAGCCGAAGCCACATACTTAACAGTTTTGGCAAAATAAAACTATATCAGACAGAGGTGCATCCGAAGAACTACACTTAGCAGAATTTACGTGCAAATTCAAAGAAAATTACGTGTAACATGCATACTCAAAAGCTGAAGCTACGTATCAACATATTCAGAAAGATACTTTGCAAGTTAAACAATCAAAATGCTGAAGTTCTAAACTGGGAAAATCAATAAGTAAAGGACTAACCGAAGGGCCGAACAACTCTTCGGTATCTTCTGACTCCGAATCTTCCTCTCTGATAGGCTCGGATGGAGGAGGTGGTGGCTGTACAACGTCACCTCCTTCAGCAGCAGCAGCAGCAGCTTCCTCTTCAGCTGAGAGTAGGAAGAAAGGGTCGATCTTCTTATACCAAGGCTTCTGCGCCAGATACTCAAAAGCACTGACCACCTCGAGCTTCCTCGGCTGCAGTGTCAGTGGTCGATCCCTCACAGCTGTGATGGGAGGAGTATTGGTAATCGGCACTCTGGTCTGGCTGATTCCCAGCACCTCGTAATTGATACCAGAAGTCTCTTCGCAGATAGCTGAAAAAATATCAGAGCAAAACATTAGCTTCAAACAAAAAGCTTCGGATTGTGAAAACTTAAAAAGCAGAATGTAAATGCCTCGGCCCCAGCCGAATCACTTACCACCTTGGTATCTTCGGCTGAGGCCGGCAACGGCTAACATCTTCTCTTGGAAGATGTAATGATAACATGGCAGCCAGACGGTTGGCATAATGGTCATTCGGCCTGTAGCGCCAGGGTTTGAGGATCTGCCGAATAGCTCCATCTGCAGGCAATCCAGTTCGGTGAAATCGTCATCACCGATGCTTGACATGGATGGGTCTGGCTTCCTAACGTAGCAAGGCCCCCCGAAGTAATTAGGGTGGCTCTCATCCGAAGGAGCTCGCACCCAAATCCATTGCTCCCTCCAATGTTTATCCGAGGTATCGTTCGGATAGGAGGTCAGATAACCCCTTTCGTCTTCTATACGCCACCAGCCTCGGCCATGTATTCTGCTGGACTGGGTGTTCGGTGACAGTTTGTGAATGCACCGAAAACAGTGGACGCTCGTCTGCAGCCCATAGAAGATGCACACCCGGAGATAGGTCATGATTCTCTTGATGCTGACTGGGGTGAGCTGGGCCAATGAAATATTGTACCCATTCAGAACGTTGATGACGAAGGGGTGCACTGGGAATCGCAGCCCGTAATGCAGCTGCCGAACGTAAACCCCAATATAACCTGGAGGGGCCCGATAGATTCTCTCCAGCACTGTGGGCATTCGGCACCAATACCCATCGGCTTCCATTATGTCGTAGTAGACCTCCAACTGCTCGGCAAAGTGGTATCGAGCATCATTTGCAAGCCACCATTCGGCTGGCTCGGTCTTCAACAGACCAGACTTCTCGTATTCATCGGTCCATTCCCTCTCTTCAGGGGTCAAGGGCCGAGATCTGGTAGAAGCCCTTCGACCAGAAGTGCTTGCTTCGGCTGGCTCCCTAGGAGGGGCGCTGTTTAGCGGAACAACCCTTAATCCTTCTCCCCTCGAGGGTGAACCAACCTCAATTCGGGCGTTTGGGTTTCGGCCGCTCAAAAACGGCATTACTGGCAGAGGACGGTTCCTCTTCAGAATTAATTGCGGCACTTCCTCCTCAATAGTCTCGATGGCGACGCGAAAAAAGTAGGAAAAAGGGGAATAGCTTAAAAGAAGGGGAAATCCGAATGAAATTCGGAGAAAATTACCTTTATCTGACTCGGAATTCGCCGATTTAGTGGTTCGGAGCAACGAATTCTGCTGAAAAGCTTCGAAAAGGCGGAAATTGGTGAAAGAGAAAAAGAACTTGCGCGAGTTCGCTGGAAAAGTGAGAGTGAAATGCGAAGAGTGTTTGATTTGGGAATGCCGGAAATGATTATGCAAAATGCAAATTAAATACTTGGTGCAAAAACCCACTCACTTAATGTCAGTTTACAAACTCTTCAAATTCTTCCCAAACCAATTACAAACCGCCAAAATTTAATTTTCCACTAAGTCCACTCCACTTCCCCACTACCATTAGTTAACCGTCATTAAGGTTAATTAATCATCATTAACGGTTATATTAACTGTATTGAGTTATCAAAAACATTTAAATTATTTTCATTTATTTCCCTCCAAATCCTTCAGCTGCTGAAACCCGACCCGTTATCCTCACGAATCGGGTCTGGGGGGCAAGTTGTTTGGGGTCCAAAATGCTTATATTTGGGCCCAGTCATAATGAAAATAATAAAAGCCCAATAGGCAAGGTACAACCCTTCAATACATTTGCCAAGTCAATTATAGCAAGGCCCAATCAAATGGCAGCCCATTTGATTGATCAAGCCCAATCTAACTTATGGAACAAAGGTATAAAAGCTTTCATTTCAACACAATTACATTCATTCACATTAAATGCCTCAAGCAACAAATACTCTTGCATAGCTTTTTCTCTAATACTTTTGCATCCGTACTGACTTCGGCATCGGAGGGGCCTTCCTCGGCACACCCCCCGAGGCTAGTTTACATTTGCATTGCTGTGCAGGAAATCCCCAATTCAGTCATCACTCGAATTGGGCTTCGTTTCCACTCATCCGAAGGGCCAGCCGAAGGCCCATTGTTTTCTGACCGAAACAAAACATATAATGTAAAGCATTTTATTTAATGATCAAACTAAATTAAAACAAAAGTTGTGAGTAAATCAATAAATGTTAATTTAATAGTGAATAGGTTTTTCTTATAATAAATTTACTTAACATAAATAAACGAGTTATTCATAAACTCGTATAAACGAGTAATCAAGTATATATGCTCGTTCTTCAAAAAAAGTTTATATGCTCGTATGTAAAGCTCGTTTATTACACAAGTTTCAAAATCGATTAACCTCAACTCATTTGTTTAACAAACAGCTCATGACACTTAAGAATGGTATCATCACACTGGCCTGGAGTACAATTTTCACATCATGTTTCATTATACAACTTTCCATAAGGATTTATGGATCTATGATATTCCTTTTTTTTTTATTAAAGGGGATCTATGAGAAGATAATAGTTTTTTTTTTTTTTTTTGGACATGAGAAGATAATAGTTAGTCACTCGTAATTTCTCAACAATGTGCTAACTTATAAGTATTCCAGTAAACTAATGGAAGATTCTATGTAGTCGTGGAACTTGACTAGTTAAGATAATGTATACATTTGGAAGGTGCTCAGTTGCTCACCTCTTTCTTACCTTTCTTTTGACTAGGAAATCGCAATGCGCGCGTCATAGCTAGCCATATTCGGAGAGCTCTTTCAGTTTGGCCTTAAATCTAAAATTTGGTTGTTGACAACATTAATAAGAGAAAATATATTTGTAGGGGTAGTATAAATATCCACGATTTATTCTTAAGAGTTAAAAAAAAATAGGCAACTAACATTAATAAGGGCAAATAAATAAATAAACATTTTAGAGGGTACATTTGTACAAACACTATTCATTAAAATAATTGTGCATATTAATGAGGGTATATATGTAAATACACATTTTGAAGGATATACTTGGCAACACACTATTCATAAGAGCAATCTAGTACTTTTTATAAGGTAGGGAAGTTGGCACATTTTATTTCTTATTTCCTTTCTCTATTCAGTTCTCTAATCTCCATACCAAAAATAAATAAATTAATTAAATTAAATTAAAAAAAAAAAAAGACTTATAATAATTATTGCTAATTTGATGTGGTTGTCTGAATCCCTTTTTTTCGGTACAGCGAGACAAACATTAACAAAAGCAACAATATATAAACAAGGATATATTTGGAATTTGTAGCATAAAACATTTTATTCTTTAAATGGGTATGTTTCAATATTTTTGAAATCATCTAAAAATTAACATATGAGTATATGTTGTAGTATTAAAGTTACAGAGGAAAAATAATCTTAAATAGTTCTATAGTTCAAGTAAAACAACTGCAATGCTTAATCAATCCTATTATTTTTAGCAATTGGTGCATTAAGCGTAACCAAATTTAAGATGCATGGTGACTTAGCCCTCTATTCGACATTCAACAACTCATCATTCAACAATATGCTCCGTAATAAACATTCTAAGTTAAACGTCCCATTATAATTCATCAGAACTAGTCAATCTCTTTGTCCCAAATTCCAAGTCCTATCAACTAGTGGTGTTAGACAAATGATATACACCATCCGAATCCGGGCCACAAATGACAGGAGCAAGTGCATGCACATTTAGACTATTGAAACTTCTACGTTAGAGCAAAATTCTGGCTTGTTTAATTTTGTTAGAGATTGTCTAAATGATCACTAGCATTGCAAATGACACAATTAGTGAGGTCATAAGACAAACATAAAGACAAATTACTTCAGTTTCTTTGTAAAAACGATGCTTGTCTGTATATATATATAACACCAATAACTCCATCACGAAAAAAAATAGACCAAAATGACAATAAACAACACCCTTAAGAGTAAAGTAGCAGTGGTAATTGTACCACTACCCGCACAAGGCCATCTCAACCAACTTCTCCACCTCTCTCATCTCATTGCCGCCTACGGTATACCGGTCCATTATGCCGGCTCCACCTCCCACAACCGTCAAGTGAAGCTTCGACTTCACGGGTGGGACACAGAAAGCTTAATAAAAATTCAGTTCCATGATTTTGAATTACCTCCTTATGATTCACCTCCTCCCAGTGTCGACCTCATCTCTTTCCCCCAACATCTCCTACCCCTTTTCGAGGCTTCCATGCATCTTCGTCAACCAGTGTCTGATCTCTTGCAGCAACTCTCGAGAAAGTTTGACCGAGTCATAGTCATTCATGACCTTCTTATGGCTTATGTTGTCCAAGATGTTAAGCTCATTCCGAATGGTGAAACATACAACTTTAATCCTACCTCCGCGTTTCTAATTTTCTTATATTCATGGAGTAGTATACCCGAGAAAGAGAAACCATTTCAGTTGGATTCAAAAGATATCCTAGAAGGTATCCCCCCTGAAGATGGGTGTGGTACACAAGATATGACAGAGTTTTCTCTCAATCAAATGAAATTTCTCGGGTTTGAATCAGGGTGGATTTTTAACACCTCAAGAATTATAGAAGGTAGATATGTTCAGCTATTGGAGAGGTTATCTACAACAAAATCACAAACAAATCACTTTGCCTTAGGACCTTTTAACCCGGTGAATATCAAAAGTGAAAGCAGGAAAAATAGACACCAATGCCTTAATTGGCTAGACAAACAAGAGAAGGATTCAGTGATATACGTATCTTTTGGGTCGACAACATCACTGACAGATGATCAGATCACAGAGTTGGCTAACGGGTTGGAAAGATGCGGAGAGAAGTTTATATGGGTGCTTAGAAGAGCGGATCCAAACGACATTTTTGCAGAAGCTGATAAAGTAAAAAAGCCTCAACTTCATGCAGATTATGAAGAAAGAGTAAAAGACAGGGGAATAATAGTAAGAGATTGGGCACCGCAGCTAGAAATCTTGGCTCATACATCAGTTGGCGGATTCATGAGTCATTGTGGATGGAATTCTAGTATGGAAAGTATAAGTATGGGCGTGCCGATTCTGGCCTGGCCTATGCATTCTGATCAACCAAAGAATGCGTTTTTAATTAGCAATGTGCTTAGAATTGGTGTAATGGTGAGAGATTGGGAACACCGCGATGAGATTGTAAAATCAAATACGATAGAGAATGCAGTGAAGACATTGATGGCATCACAAGAAGGAAAGGAGATAAAGATGAGAGCTGCAAATGTAGGAGAAGCTGTGAGAGGATCAGTTGCTGAAGGTGGTGCTTGCAGTTCAGAAAGGGATGCTTTCATTTCCCATATCTCTAGATAGTTCTACCTGGTAGCTGCAAAGACCTTCTTTGTCCTTTCCTAATCGCCTATTGCTTATACTATTAGCAGCCTTGTTTCCATTGCACATTTTCTTTTTTCAATATTTTTTTTGTGGCAGCCTTGTATCATGTATTACTCTATTACTCCGTGTTTAAAATTGTTTTCATCTATCAAAACTTACTTGCTTTATATAACTAATAAAAACTCTTAGAATAATCTAATTCATGAAAGCTGTAACAAGGCCTAACAAGCAATTTTGACTTCTTACAACTGTCAACAAGTCATAAGCTGTACCTGAACACAAGGCCATAAGGCTGACAATTATGAAATTGTCGTAACAAGATCCAGAAAACATTCTGCAACACATGAGCAAACTTGACTGCTGGAAAAAAAAAATATTGAGTGAAATAATTGAATGACATGAGTTACCATGTACTGATACTTTTACCTCCGTTCTGGCTGTATGGCAGTGTATGCGATCTAGCCTTAGCGTCTCTTGCATCCACATTGTTTCGGATGAAAACAATCGAATCTCGGAAGATCCTTTTATCTTGAGGGAACTTGGTCTCGGTCCGAACGACGCAGGAGCCGAGGGTTTCCTGCACAACAAATACACGTAAACTAGCCTCGGGGGGGACGCCGAGGAAGGCCCCTCCGATGCTTAAGTCAGTATATTAGAGAGAGAAAGCTGTGCAAGAGTTTAGTTGCTTGAGGCTTTATTGTCTTACCAAGAATTGACCAAATTGTTGGCTTTTATACCTTGGCTAATGAAGGAGGCGGATTGGGCCCGGAAGTCAGTTGGGCTGGGCCAAGCTGATTGGGCCGTTGACTGACCTTGACATGGCTTTGAGGATGTTGATTTTTGACTTTAGCACATTTGGAGAGTTGAACCTTAACCTTGGGCTTTTAATTGGATCATTCAGTGACCAGGCCCAATTGGACTAAATTGGACCCAAACAACTTGCCCCCCAGACCCGATTTGGAAGGATGACGGGTCGGGTTTGATTTAATCAGAAAAGGAGGGAAGTGAATGATTTGTTAATCCAAAAATGTGAATTTAAACCGTAATTAACCCATGATTAATGAGATAACAACAGTTAATGTGGATAATTGCGGAAGTTGGATGGGTAGTGGGCGATTTAACTGCAAGGTCGTGTGTTTAACGGTTACTTAGTGGGGTGCTTGAGAGAAATTGAAACGCAGACTCCTTGAATTCCCATTTCTGGAGATATAAATAGAGGCGCGTCTTCTCTCCCCACTCATTCATCAACACAAACCCAGAATTCTCAAGAACGCTCAAGAGCCCGCATCAAAACTTCGCAAATTCCCCGAGCATTAAGCTTAGAAGCTGAGACTTGTCACTACCAATTCGTAAATCGGCGGCTTTTGCTTCAGATCAAGGTAAATTCCTTTGATTTTATTTCATCTTTCTTCGACTTTGCACTCTTTCCCCTTTTTCGACTTTTTCCTTCGAAATTCGTCAATGGTGAGGGGAGTTAGAGGTGGAGCCCGTGCTCCAAGAAGAGCAAGGCTAATCCCCGATCCCAGGGACAGGATTGGGACCTGGAATGGACGAAGGACAGAGTCTGACCCTGCTGAAGGGGTTAGGGCGACTCCCATTTCTTCGGCTCCTCCTCAGAGAACGGATGAGCCGAGTGCTTCTGGACGGGACGATGAAATTCCCGCTGTCCTTTGGGATATCCTCCCTGGGTTTTCAGAGTGGGAGAATGCCGAAGTCGCTTCGGCCATGATAAAGAACCGCCCCTACTCATGGTGGGTAGAGAACGCCGATCAATATCGATTTGCCGAGCAAATTGAGTTGCACTACGGCATTTTTGAAGCTGATGGATATTGGTGCCGAATGCCCTCAGCATCCGATAGAATCCATCGTCCACCCCCGGGGTATGTGGGGGTGTACACGAGACAGCTTCAGTATGGGCTGAGGTTCCCTTTGGACGTTTTCGTCCGAGACTTGCTGATCCATTACAGCATTTCCCTGTGCCAGCTGACCCCCACCAGCATCCGAAGGGTAATGACGTACTTATGGGTCTGCAAATTCTTCAGGTACGTGCCGAACCTGCATTGCTTCAAAAGGCTCCATCGGCTAGTGCCAAACATTCAAAGTGGGCACGGATGCCATGGCTCTGGGTGGTATCGGATTGAGTCTCGGCCCCCGTTCCTAACCATGTGGCCGAACGACTCTTCAGACAAGGACTGGAGAGGTCAATGGATTTGGGTTAGGGCACCCACGGAGCCGAGCCACCCTTACGTTTTCAGCGCTCCCCGGTATCTTGCCGAGCCGGATCCTGATATGGGAAGTTTAGGTCCTCCCGAAGATAGCGGGCCAGACCCGAACCTTAATCAGCAGAACATCTTCGGCAAGCTGCCGAACCGGGGAGGCAGCGGCCGAATGCAGCATATCCCGGAGACTTGGCTCCCCGATACGCACTATGTTTTCCAAGAGAATATGCTGGCAGCTGTCGGCCTCAGCCGAAAGTTTAGGGATGGTAATCTTCTTCGGCTGGGGCCGAGGCCTTTTAATTATCTCTTTTCTTCTTTCATTTTGCTTTCTTGTGATGTGCCGAACTAACTGAATTGACTTCTCCCCTTTTCTTTTTCAGAACGGGACGAGACCAACGTCGGCATTGATTACGCTCGCCTTGGCGTCAACCGAGAACGAGTCGTAACTGATCGGGCTCCCCCTATCACTGAACCAAGGCGCCGAGAGGTTCACCTAGACTCTTCCCACTTCCAAATTGAGGCTGTTGCTCTGTATCAGAGGCAGAAGCCTTGGTGGAAGAAGAGGGATCCCTTGTTTCAGCTGCTGGAAGAAGAAGCTGAAGCTGCCCGTACAGCCGAAGAGGTTGCACGGGTTATTGAAGCTTGTGAAGGTGGAGAAGGGTCCTCCAGAGTTGCTGAAGAAGCTGCGGCTAGGGCAGCTGAAGAAGACGAGGCTTTGCTGAAGACCTCGGTGAGCCTTTAGACTTAACTTTGTCTTTTTCTTCTTTTTTTTTTTTTTTACTCACACTCTTCTTCCCCCCTGTCTGTTACAGTCTGAAGAGAGTAACAGACACAGAGAAGGCAAAGCTCCTGTTCGTCCCGAAGATCAAATACAAGAGTCTTCAGACTCAGATATGGACGAGCAGCCGCTTCAGAAGAGGCGCCGAAGAATGGCCATCATCGGCCCGCATGACTTTCAGCGGAGGCCGATGACCATCGGCGTTGAAATAAGGGAACCCGAGGAAGGCAATGGATCGCCGAGGGTTCCCCGGCCACCGCCTCAATCACCCCCAAGGGCCTCTCCGCCACCCCCCGAGATGGAGGTGGATCAGAGAACTCCCAAACCTAAGGGAGAGGTTCTGGAAGAAGCTCGAGAGAGTGCCGCCGAGGACAAGGATGGAGACGCCGTGATGCCCAGTGCTGAGGGTTTCACGGCGGACATTGCCAGAGAGGTTGGGGCCTTCGTCCTCACACCTGAAGAAGAAGAGGTCACAATAATTGACTCTTCTGAGAAGGAGGAGGACGTTGAGCCACCCAAAGCTAAAGAGGCTCCATCGTCATCCTTCCCTTCCTTCCAGACGCTGCAGTCTGGAGAAATGGGTTTCTCGGCCCCCCGAATTCCAGTCCCAGACCACATCTGGGACCTCATATGGGGTCAGAACCGAGAAGGTGCTGCAGCCTACTTCGGCGATTTTGCTGGCCTGTCCGAAGTAGATAGGGCAAGGATTTGGTCGCTGAAGGCCACTGCTGGGATGGGCGAATCCAGCAGATCAGTTCCTGACCCTGCCAGGTCCAACCAACTGCTGATGATGCAGGTAATTCTCCTTGCCTTGATTTCTTTCTGAACTCAACCTTTCAGCTATTATTTTTTACTTTTTTAACTTGTGCCCCTGTTTTCAGTTCGTGCACAATCAGACTCTCACTGTAGAGCTGATTGATACCCTACAAGATAGGGTGGACGCTGCTGTGCACGAAAGGAAGGTGGCTGAAGAGGAAGTTAAGCTTGCTAAGCTGAAGCAAGCAGCAGCTGAAGAGAAGCAGCAGGAGGTTGAGGAGTACGGTAAAAAAGCTGCCGAAGCTCTGAAAACCTTCTGCGATGCTATGGAGATGGAGGTTTTTCCCCCACTGATGGAAGGGGAAAAATTCCTCCAGGAGCATATGGGAGTGGACGTCTCCAAATTCAAGGCTGCTATTGAGAGCCGAATTCAAGAAGGAACTGCTGCACAAGCTGAAGTGCAGCAGCGTCTAGAGGCTCTTGAAGCCAGCCGAATGGCTGCTGAAGAGTTGCTCTTGGCCAAAGACGTCCAACTCTCAGAGGCTGCTGCTGCTGCTGAAGCTCAAAGAGCTAAGCTACAAGAGGCTGAGGATCAGCTCACTGCCAAGAAGGAAGAAATGGTCCAAGTTCAGGCCGAGGCTTCCCAGGTTCAGCAAGAGTTTACCGAGCTGAAAGGCTCCTCCTCCAAGCTCGTCGATGAGCTGAAGAGATCCGAGGAAGACTTGGAGGAGACGAAGAAGAAGTTGGCCGATGCTGAGGCTCTACTCAAAGTCCGTATCTATACCCAAGAAGAGTATGAAATGGGTTTTAGAAACGGGTTCAGAGTGTGCCGAAGGGTCTGCCTTCATGCTGAGCCGAAGCTGGACTGGTCCAAATGTGCTGAATGGGTCCAAGATCCCGAAGACCCTCACATGAAGTATGCCACTCCAATCGAAGCTGAAATCCTTAAGGCTGAGGAAGCCGAGGAAGAAGCTGAGAGGATGGAGTTGGAGGCTGAGCAGAGGGAAAGGGAGGCTCGGCAGAGTGCAAAGCCTGCTTCTTCTGCTGCTGGAGCTGAGACCACCATTGGGCCCAATGAAGCTGATCAGTCTGATCCTCAGGCTGAAGCATAGGAACTCGGGCAGTCGTCTTCAGAATCTTGCGGTTCATCATGCGCTCAACTTTAGACTTGCCGCTTTCTGAATTTTTGCCTTTTGTTTTTTTTTTGCTTCAGCTTGCCTTATCGTACAACAGCTTATTATATTTTTATTTTGCCTGTACGTATTTCGGCAGCTGTTACTTTCCGCTTGTGGGCGGCTGCCGACTATTTTTGTAATTCAACATTTTTATTTCAAAGAAGTTCACTTTCTCAGCTTTCTTGTGTATTTTTTTTTTCTTCGCTTTACCAGTCTTCGCACTTTACTGCTTTCTTTGAATGATCTTTCAAATATTTGCTAAGTGCAGAACTTCG